AAATATTGTGTAGTTCAAACATTTTAAAATTTAGGCATCTGATACACAAAAGTTTGAGTTTTATTTGAGTTTAATAGGAACTTCTTATCGGAATTCTCTTAATGTAATACACAAAGTTCTTAAGAATTCTTTAAATATATACTTTCTAATTAGGAAGTACCCAATGGAATTCCCGTGGTGCGGACATTTGGAATAAAAAAGGAGTTCCTTTAATATTCCCTAAGATTTCATCAGAAGTTCGTTGAGAATTCTTTTAAAGTTCCAGTGCTGTTAGGGAAGACAACTCATGCGGGTGTGGTGTCCTAGGAAGTTTATACTTATAAGTTAATTACATTGTTTTTGAAATAGTAGAAATTGCAACTAGAAAATAAAAGTAAGTTATTTGTCTTGATTAAAAATCATATACACGTGTATGGAATACTGAGTAAATAGTTGTATTTTTCTCAATGAAGCAGTTACCTCATCACTTTATGTTTATAATATATATGTAAAGAGTAAAGTAGACTTTTTGGCTATGTATACTTTGCCTGGTGTTTTTGGGAAATACATTAATTAAAATACTATTTTGACCGGTTCATGTACTCTTGCCCATAATAAATTGGACATTGTAACTTGAACTACTAACTTACTATAGCGTAATTTATTTTTTACAAACCCAAAACTAATGTATATAAATATATAATATGATTATAGTGTTTATACTTATACAGTATTTTCATGTAGTATAATATTGTATTTCATTCAGGTTTTCATTTTTTTTTTTTTTTTATCATCTGAAAATGTATAATCTGTATTTTATAACACAATAAGTAAAAAATATGACTGATATAACACTACATAAAGAATAAAAATCATGAAGCATAAGATGAAGGAAATCATTCAGAGATGGTACCCTACAGATTTCATTTCTTAAAAAGGAGCATTAGTTACTAGTCTAATAAAGCAATAACTAATAAGTGATAAATAATAATTACCATCTGAAAAAAAAATGATTAACATTGTGTGTGTACATGTTAGTAATAAAGTATTACTCTAGCACTAAATGTTTAATTAATAATCACAAAATATTTTAAAAATTTAAAATGTTTAAGTTCAATTCATGTTAAATATTTTTACTTGAAAACAAAATATACTGAAATAGTGAAATGTAACAAAATTAAAAACAAAATAAAATAACTCTATTTCTTCAAATAAAAACTAATTCGTTAATTTCACATTAATTAAAAAATAAATTTAGTAAGTTAGTATAGTTTAACTAATCAATAGCCAAGAGTCACTAATGGGTGGCTGCTTAATTAAAAACCTTCATGTATTTTAATTACTCTCAGCATATAAACTTATTGGTCAAAACTGTATAGACTGTTTATGTCAAATATAAAAGTTAGTAGTTAAGTCAATGAAAATCTAAATATAACTTATTAAGATAAAAAGTTTAATTTAAATAAACTTTTTAACTTAATTTTAATTTTTTAATTTGTTAATGCCCAGCCTTGGTAATTCTGATAAAAAATGTGATGCTATTCGTAAAAATAAATAGTTAAGTTAATAATATTCAATTAATAAAGTAATCAGCAAGATTGATGAATCTTTATCATTTGATAATTTATAAATTGTATAATAAAATTATTGTGATCAAAAATCTAATGCTTTATCATAAAAATAAATAATTAAGGTAACAATATTTAACTTATAAAGTAATTAATAAGATTGATAAGATTAGAAAGGTTTATAACTATAAAAATAAAAACTATTGGTTTATATTGCCCAAGCTAAAATGGGCAATTCTATACAATCTAGACAAGATATACTTTTGCCTACATTGCCCGTAACATATATATATATATATATATATACAATAATATATATAAACTGTGAATATTATGCAAAATTTTAACCATTATCATTTACTACTAATTCAATGTAAATATAATATTTGATACTTATGATTATTATTTTATTTTTTATACAAAATTAATTTCAACAAAATGGAATGTATTTTAAATCTGGTGTTAACTGTTTACGAAAAAATAAAATTAATTAACTCGTAAGTTACTTCATAATATGAAGAAAAATATAACTCGTTAAGTTAGAAGTTTAAACTTGTGAACTTATTGAAATTATTTTTTATGACATTAACATTTAACTCTTCATATTACTAATTTATTGTTTTATCACAATTTATTATTATTACCATTATTTTAATTGGTAATTTAAAATATTTAAATATTGTTGAGAAAAAAATTAAATGAAGATTAAATATCTCAAATATCAATCATATAATCTTCTTTAGATTTAAAAAGACTGTTGTAGCATGTTAGATTAGATCCCAACAAAAACACTACGTCTAATGATTAGACCATTTACTTAGATTCCAACTTATATCACACATTTTATAGCATTTATTTATTTATTAATTTTTTTTACTTAGTGTTTTTTTACACGAAGTTGACGTAGTGTTTTTGTTGGGATCTAATCTAACACGCTACAACAGTCTTTTTCCAATATTATACTATATTTTACTATGTATTTTATTATTATTATTATTACATGTAATTATTAGTATAACTTTGTTTGTAGATACCTCGATAATTAATGCACCAATCAGTGATGTACTAAGTACTTAAATAAATTAAATTTTAAATTACTATAACATTTCGTTTAAATAAAATAAGATGTATTCAAATTATGGCCCGTGAAAAAATTTATTTTTATTTTTTGAACCTTGACATCAAAAAGGTTGCCGACCCCTGGTCTAATGAATAAAATGTATGTATAAGTAATTAATTCAAATTTAATAAAAATTGGTTATTTATATAAATTTATAATATGAATTATTTTAACTCAAATTGATCCAATTTTAGTTTAGTTGGCTGGAAGATTCAGTCTAAAAATTGTATAGCCAAGGAGGTACTAAGTTTATGTAATAAATAATGAAAGCACCATTACAACAAATAAATTGTTCCTGGCCAAGTAAACTAAAATTGGATCAATTTGAGTTAAAATAATTCAAATTATAAATTTATATAAATAACCGATTTCTATTAAATTTGAATTAATTACTTATACATACATTTAATTCATTAGACCATTTACTTAGATTCCAACTTATATCACACATTTTATAGCATTCATTTATTTATTTTTTTTACTTAGCGTTTTTTACACGGAGTTGACATATGGGATATCATTAATTTTTATTAGGGTCAAGATTTTTTTGATTTTTTTTCCATTATTATGATGTAAACATTGTTGAGAAAAAAATTAAATGAAGATTAAATATCTCAAATATCAATCATATAATCTTCTTTAGATTTAAAAAGACTGTTGTAGAATGTTAGATTAGATTTTATAGTCTAAGTAACAAAAATTACAGATTAAATGTCTACAAAAGTTACTAAATCTACAAGATTGACATTTAAAGTTTAAAAATTGGTTGTAATATTAAAGGTCAATTCACACATGTCCGGTCCGTGCCCGGTCCGTATCCGTACCATCTGGTCCGTGTCCGACGTTTTTACATTGTATGGCTTAAATTTAATGTTATCGTTTACACTTGTCCGATCCGTAMCCRTTCCGTATCCGTCTCGTCCRATTCTATTTGTTCAAAACTATGTTTTGTCGAATGGCACTGATACGGAGACGTATTTTCGGTACATGTAAGTACAAGTCAATACTGGTTCGATCAGGTCTGATCAAAAATATAGTGCCCCAAAACTTTACCGACTCTAGTTTACAAACAATTGTAACAAACGACAACGGTTATTCATACCATCAGTCTGCAACAGTCCTCAAAATTTGTATTTTGTTTAAAAATCAATCAACAACGAAAATGAAGAACGAAAAGTTGATCGAAGCTGTGAGAGAGCATGAAGTGCTCTACGATTTGTCTCATTCTAAATATATTACCTAATTATAATTTTTTTAATAATTTATTTCTCGTGTAATATATAAAATAATATTTACCAAAGTATGGTTGAAAAATACAAATGTTTTGTTTTATTTGTTATTTTAAATTTTAAAATGTATGGTGTGTTCGATTGAAGTTTAAAAAAATTTATATTATATACATCTTATAAAACATATATTTTTTAAAATATGCAATACCTATCTGTAAAATTTATATTATACTATTTTAGTATATATAGGTACATATWGTAATATTTTTTATAATTATATTTACAAATTGAGCAGTTTTAATTTTTTAGTATTAAAAATAACAATATTTTTTTTTATTTTTTACGTGTAACACAGACTTATTAATAGGTTAGTAAAATATAATAAATAGGTAGGTATAATAAATAATAATGATCGTTTCAGTACCTTAGAGTTACCGCAAGTCTTTCCATGGGAGTTATCGCCAGCCTCCAATGAGTGTCTGGTCTTTTTATATCATTGAATTTTTGATAATAAAATATCAAAACTATATTTGGACATCCGAAAGTACTCAAAGAACTTGGTTTCGTGATCTACTAATTCATTGTATAGTGTTGTGAATTCCCCTTCAATATTTCTTTTCTTCCACAAATCRTGAACCCAGGTTCGTTTTCTTTTTTTTACTACTTTTGTTTTTGCTGCTTCATCTTCATCCAGTAGTATTGCAATCATTGCTAAATCTTCGATTTCTAAATTGTCCATCTTAAAAATWGGGTAGAAAACGCTCTTACACAAGTATACAGAAGTTCTGTTTGTCACTGAGCGAACATGAAATTCGTGATCACAGTGTAGTGCACAAAATGGAATACCGGACGACACGGACTTGTGTGAATTAGATGCTATCGGACAGTATTATCACTGAACGGACGGTACGGATACGGACCGGACATGTGTGAATTGACCTTAAACCTTCTTTTTCAACAATACAAGCTAATCTTATCAAATATATTAAAAACAAAATAATGAAATGAATAAAAATATCTGTAATGATACTTTTTAAAAAAACAGTAATAGTTTACTAAAAATGTATATATTTTTTTCAATCATAATAAAAAATAGATATACTTTTATTTTAAATAATTTACGTAAATATTAGAATATAGTTCAGTCTACATTTTTATACACATCCATTTATCAGGAGTTGAATCAGGTTTTGACCATGATCCASGTTCTTTGAATTCCTGATATGGCATGTGCCATATGCCATTTGCAGATTTTTGAGTTGCTTGTAAATATGTTATTGGTTCCTAAGACGATAAATTATATTTTATTGCAATTTTCAAACAAATAAATTACATACATATATAAAATTGTACATAAAAATAAAAGTGTCATTGCATACAAACTTACTTTGATAATAACTTCATCCCCTGGACGAATTTTTAATCCTAATCTATGTTTTTGTAACCATTTCTGAAATATGCTTCTTATGATAGGATCCCCTAACAAAAATTTGTGACCACGCATAAGATCTCTGGTAAGAATTTGTGTATCAATACCACTATACATTGCAGCATATAGAACAAATGGATCATCTTTAGACCTAAACAAAATAAATAATACATCATAAATTTAATATATTATATTTTTTATTTACTTATGAGGACGTGATACCCGCATTTGTTGTCTCCGTATAAAATTTAAAGGTAAGATTATTATCTGGACAACTTCATATGCTTTTTGTTGTATTTTAATTTTAAAGCAAGTTATGAATATTTTAAGATGTAAAAAGGTATCACAACTTCATAAGGTTAATTTAAGTGTTTTCTTACAGATCATTTGTAAAAAAAATGTGTGCATTTTTTTTTATAAAATCAAATTCCTTTCCTAGGATCTTAACTAGATGTTTTCTGCCGATTAATAACACTTTTAGTTTCTTTTCAATAAATTTCTTCATAACATTCTTGGTCTATACAACAAAATGTATACAATGATTGATAATCAATAATCAGTTTATAGATACTTTATGTCTTATTCAAAAGCCTTAAATCACTTTACGTATTTCAAAATGATTATCATATTGTTTTTCAAACAGTTACCTATTTTACAACAGTTCTAATTTTAATTGCATGTATTTAAAAGAGAAATAAGCAAAATATATATTTTTTTTTTCATAATTGGAATTTAAAAATAGTTATTTTTCAGACAGTTTAAAAAAATTATAACTATAGAGTAAACAAAGGTATATTATGTACATTTTCGAATAGTCAAAAAGTTAAGTTTTATTACTTCTAAGTTCTAATATTACTCATAATACAGCATCAACTATTATATTATTAGATTACAAAAAAATAATATTAGTTGCATACAGATATAATGATTTTATGGATAAAGCAGTAAATATCAATAAGTTTTAGAAATGTGATGGATTTGTTGATACTATCTTCGATTGGGTTAAGGTTCTGAGATAGTCAGACATTCCTAGATTTTATTAGTATAATTATAATTTTCATTTTATTATTAAGATGTCTTTCTGCATTATCTACATTAAGTTATAAGTATAATGTATATTGAACACATATCCATCATTTGAATAAATAAAATATTGTGGCTTGGGGAGGCACTGTCGTACACTCAATCTGCGGAAACGCACTGGGTGTACGTACCGGTTGCAGTTGATAGCATATTTAGCAACATATCCTTGCCACACATGCACAAACACGTGTTACAACCTTTCCCACTTAAAAACCTACAAACAAAAACACAAAAATAAATGGTCCCACACCCAATGACCTATGTTGCCACAAGTTCTCCTTACAAAAAAAAATAAATAAATAAATAAAATAAAATAAAAGTATGAAATAAAAAATATTATTTATACTGCTTTAAATTTATATGATATATTTAAAATCACTAGGCATATTATTTTATTAGATAGAATTATCACAAAAAAAAATTAATTAATTATTATATTGGTAAGTTTTAAGGGTAGCTTAATTTTAAATATTGGACCTTCAAGAGAACAGTGATATTACTATCAAATGACGAATACTTACCTGACTTTTAAAACTAAATTTAAAAGATTAGTTTTAAAAAATAAATAATAATATAATAATAGACATAAGAGTGTGCAAACTTTGGTTGCAGGGAACACAGCTGACGAAATGTCCTTAAATATTTAAAAATATAAATGATTGGTGCTGCCTACTTACAGTATATAGTCTACAATCAGGACAATCATATATGTATACTACATATCCGAGTAGCAATAAAATATTAAATTGGTCTAAACATAATTTGCTATATGATACACTTATGTATTTTCCACCTATATTTATTATTAGGGACTAAAAGATAAAATCATTGGTAATACAACAGTATGATATAGTATATTTAATAACTTTGTTAATAACCTAAAGGCTATCGATCATTGGTGTTTTGCATAATTATTAGTGTGTATCATCCAATTATAAGATTTTTTTTTGCTAATACACAAATAATAATAATATTTATATGTTATTTGAAATTGCTTATTAATTTAAGTACTGTGTACTACTATTTCTGCAGTCTACATAATAATATGTAGGCCTCATATCTGAGCAGAAAAATGTTGGGTAGACCACATACTCGAGCAGCATCAACTATTTAAGTTGTTATACTCAAAATCCCTTCAAGCGGAAGTGTTGTGGGCATCAATATACTAAGAAGCACCACCGAACAATATTTTTCATGTTTCATAACACATTTGTTTAATAAAAAAACTTGAATAAGAGATTTCACACCATTAATAAACTAATGAATAGTATATTATTTTACCGTAGTATACTTACTAAAGAATGATCACCAATTTTTCCTCTATATGCATATGCCAAATTTAATCCATCGACAACCACATCATAAGGTGCAGTAATTTCAATGAAATCCTTAAAATCATTTAACTCTTGCGGAGAAGAATTGTTAAATATATTTTTTCCAATCATTACATGTGATAAAAAACGTTCTTGAAGCATCTTAAAATCTGAATCTGTGACTTCAGCATGTTCCAATAATTGATTACAATTCTTACATTTTCCACTAAGAAAATAAATTATTTTAAAATGGAATATATTTTATCTCTAAAACTAATCATACAATAGATATTTACTTATTATGATAAATCATAGTGGTAGTAGTTCTAAAGTCAGATTGTTTTAATCTGATACGAATTAGTTCTGCTAAATCTTCCCTGATAATATACTCGTTATCTCTTAAAAATTCTAATACTCTACAATGGCTAAAGTTTACATTTTTTTCACAAAGATCAAACCACGCTGCAACTATTTCTAATGGTATGATTCTATGTCGATCAAACATATTTTGTACTATAGTCCATCCCAAATCAATATCTGCTTCTTCAAAAGCTCTTAAAATTACACAAGCTGATGTTTTTACTGTAATTTGATCTTTAATTTTTGATGCTTCTATGAATTTTAAGGAATCACGCCATAAAGGCGTACAACAAATTCCCATTACTATACCTAAACAACAAAATAGAATAATTAATAAAAATAAAAGTTAATATTTGCATATTGTCATACTACCTTCAAGAAGAGTGGAATTCATTAAATGTAAATTATTTTTAAACAGAGACTGACAATTAGTCTGAATCTCATGTTGGTCATTATCTGTCAATTCATTCCTTGATTTGTAACATGATCGAATGTATAATAGTTCTAATGCTGTATTAGGTTTACCTTGACCACATTGTTTTACATACTTCATAAATGACTTGACTAAGTCTAGGCGTTTTTGTTGCGAGCATATCTCTAATATGCATCCATTAATGTTTTTCTCATTTATATACCCACGATTTATGGACAAAACAGACGATTTCAATGCACCCCAATCAAGTATTGTAGAACTCTTGATAACAAACTCTGTAATAATACGTTTTTGTTCATCACTGGCAAACCTACCTTTCATTTTACGAGGCACAATTCTATCTGGAGTAACAACCGATAGTAACCTTTGAGGGTAAATACTAGTCAGTCTTGGTCTTACTAACTTCGGTAAATTCCATTGTAGATGTTTTCTTAATAACGAACACATATTAAAATACAATGAGTGTATACAAATAATTAGTAAAATTAATAGGTAATAACTAAATACGTGTTAGATACATGATATTGGTAGAATAATTAATTTAATAATAAATCTAGTTTCAAATAATTGTATAATTAAACATTATTTACATGTCATAATAAAATGACAAAATGAGGTATCAAAATATTATTATTGAGTAATGAGTATAGACGATTTTAATTCGGAATTTAAAAAAAAAAACGTGATTTTGATTTTATAATGATAACAGTGATAAGTGAATAATGATTGATAATGATAATAATATTATCAGATTTGTTTACGTTATATAAATAGGTATAAAAATGCTCAAAAATTTGTAGTAACATAAATTAATATATTATTTAATAATATTTATAATTATATGCATATATTTAAGCGCTGACTGTACATTCACTATCTTAAGCATACATTACGGTACCTGGTTACCTATATTATACTTGTACATAACATGGCTAATAGACCTACTACCTACTTAATAAATAATGTATTGTATAGTTTTATAATATAGCAAATACAAATATACCTAATTATAATTGATACATTTTTAAATTTTAAATTTCTAGAAAAATCGTCTAATAATATGCAATTGTTCGTTCAATACTAAATATATATTATGTAGAATGAGATAAGATTATTTTTGAAAATTGTAAACTTAATAAAATAAAAATTTTTATCAAAATATTTTACTGTTTAAAGTTATTTTTAAATAATTAACAATAATCTGCATGTAAATGTATGAATACATTTGTTTTACRAGATGTATGAATAATTATTGGTAGCTTTAAATAAATAAAAACATATGTAAATAGTAAAAATCCATTTATACTTCCTTCACTGCATATTATAATATTATGATACTAAAATCACAAATGTTAAACGAATATAAGTAACTTTTAAACTATAAGTAACTATAGACTATTGTTTCGTTTATTTATTTTTGCATATTCGTATCATATCACTAATCATCATCAACATCAACTGTAGGTTGAATAAATAATAAAAATTAAAAATAAAGGTGTCGGGTAACATCGGTTTTCAGTTTTCACAAGCAAATATAGGCATATCGAAATACCTTAATACCTAGGTAGCTATATGTATGTTAAGTGATACGCTTTGAGAGAATTTAAGTACAGACACAGTCCTTATTTTGAAAAGTATTTGAAATACGTAGGTACTCGACTACTCGGCATACTACATAGTAAGTATTTTATCAATACTTTCAAATGTTTAATAGATTATAATTTTATACCTAATAAATCAACAGAACACATTATCATGGTTTACTTACCTATAGGCAAGGCTGGGCAAGTTAACTAATTATTTTAACTCGTTAAGTTAAGTTAATACAGAAAAATGTAAGTTAAGTTTAAAGTTAAAAGTTAGTTTTCTTATTTATTTAACTCGATAAAAGTTAAAAGTTAATTTGAAAAAAAAGTAACTTAACTTGGTTAAAAATAAGTTAACTTTCTTTTTTCATGTACAATAAAT